GATGCTATATGTTTGATTCTCGACAACCTTGTAAAGTTCTCAGAGACGACTGCTGTTGTGATTTTGAGGTGTGCAAAAATAAATTAAATTGAATGAAATGTTTTTAGTGCAAATTTGTGACATCCGTGGATTTTTAGTAATGCACCATTGAAATGTAATATTATTCTCAATCAATGTTGGCTGTGGTGCTGTGGTCAGATGGAACAAGGAGAGCAAGGGCGTAAACTTTGAACGTTTAAACGACAAAGGAAAACATGAAACATGGTAAAAAGTTGTGAAAATCTTGCTTTTTACGTTCTCTAAAGGAAGAAATATCATTCATAATTTTTGGCCATTCAAAATAATAACGAGACTTTACTTTGTCAAATAAGAGATATAATCTTCAGTAGAAAATATATAAAGAAATTGCTTTACACTTCACCAGAGGAACATGTTTGGTTTTGCTTCCAAATTTGAAAATGACCGGCTGCAAACACAGTAGTCGTGTGATTGCAAGGAACGTAATTTCACTTGAGAAACTGCCAAAACTAATTAATGGGCAATACCTTTATTTGAAGTGTGATGTCACCAGTCATACAATGACATCATACTACTACAGAACTGAGACAGGAGCCTTGGGACAGAAGGGGCGGAGTTACATGTTCCAGAAGCTCTTAATATTAGTGTAGATGGATGTAAAAACTATGTTGTAAAGTGGTTAAAAGCTCAGAAAAATGAATGTCTCCTTTAAAGTTTAAGAAAGCCAGTGTGTGTTTTGCCTCATCACCCTGTCCCTTCAAAAAGAACATGAAACAATCTTAATTTGGCTCGCGATCAAAGACCCTAAAATTTGTATCTTGTGTCTTTAAAAAAAAGAAAAAAGGAATGTAGTAGCTTCTGACACTTTCACAACTCTCACTTTTTTACCAAATAGAACATGTTGTACCCATAAATAAGCACATGCATAATTCACATTGCATTGATCTGAACATTTGGAGCATTACAATATGTTTGGGACCATATAGAATGTAGGACACTCAATAAATATTTCATCGTTATGTGTTTGACAATTACAAGATAAAAGCCTCCATAAATACACACCATGTAATGATTAATTAAAGCAGAGAATATGCTTATTTAAATCCCTGCCTCCTCTATAGCTCCGTGTTTATGTGCAGATGTGGTTTCTGTGGTCTGACTCCCCAGGCAGTCACACTGACTGCAGATTTGTGCACAGGAGGTGATTTGAACAGAAGCAGCACCTGTAACACCTGTGATGCTGAGAGAAAATCAACAAAATCAACAATATGGAAATGCTTCTCTTCACTGAAAGCCACAAAACTATACTCTAATTTGTGACATGTTAGTGCCATATAGGAACCAACTGGGACTCTGGGGAGCACAGGGACTGGTTTCCTGCTGAGACTCTGGGGAGCAGAGGGACTGGCCTCCTGCTGGGACTCTGAGGAGCACAGGGACTAGCCTCCAGCTGGGACTCTGAGGAGCACAGGGACTGGCCTCCAGCTGGGACTCTGAGGAGCACAGGGACTGGCCTCCAGCTGGGACTCCAGGGTGCACAGGGACTGGCCTGCTGCTGGGACTCTAGGGAGCACAGGGACTGGCCTCCTGCTGGTGCTCAGAGTCCGAACAAAACATGGGGAGGCAACCGTTCAGATTTATGCAACTAAAATCTCGAATAGTCTTCCTGAAAGTGTGAGTCAGGCTTCTATCTACTCTAGTCATCTGTCTTTTGCACAATCTGAGTGATTCTATCTATGCCAAATGTGATTTCTCCAGTGTGAGATCAATAAAGTCTATCTTATCTTCTCTTATCTTACTATGACTATATTAAAGTCAGTTCTGTTTAGCTTTGCATACAACTGAAGGATTGTATGTTTTTTTTCTGTTATGAAGAAACCCAACAGTTCTACAGTACAAGACAGTACATAAAAAGCAGGGTCGATTTAAATAAAAAATGTTTCAAAAAGTGTGACCCTTGTCTTCAAAAAGTTTCACTCTCTCCTCTTAGTTTGATAAAGTAACTGACATTTACATGAAGATCTTAAGTTGGTCACATTGTTATTATCAGTAAATCACCCTCTCCTGGTGGCAGAGACATATGGTGAACCAGTGGGAACATCCCATTAAACAGAAGCAGAGGTTGCGCTACTTTTCTGACATGTAATGAAAGAGCAATAACATCCAGACAAGCACATTATTGCCTCTGCGTTTACAAAATGACTTCACTTTTATTACAAGAGTTTTCAATGTGAGTTGGCATTTTTCACTTTCCTCTAATACATTGTAATTTTAGAGCAAATACAACATTACAGCGTTAAATAATCATATCTGCCGCATAATGACCCTGTTACCCAAAAGCTGCCGGTGCTCCATTCACTTATTTTCACTTACTCATAGATTTACTAAGTTTGGTGTTTTCAATATCACGTCAGAGATTTGAACCACTCACTCACTTCCGGAGTAAAAAATTATTACTTCAAAACCGGGAAGACAAGGAAAATGGTTGTATCCACCATGCGTGAGAGAAGCCAAACCGGGTTATAGCTTTTTATGAAAGAGTAAATTAAGTCATGGTTAAGGTTAAGGGGTGTCCAAACGGTCGGCACTAGATCATATACGGAATCGGGACGAAACCGGAAGTAACAATCCTTTTTTCAAATTAGTTTTAGACTAAAAAGTCCTTAAGTGGTGACTGGTTAAGTTTAGGCGTCTGATTAAGATGGTTAAGTTTAGGGTTAAGGCTGGGTTGGGGTTATTTTATAGGAATGGCTGGTTAAGTTTAGGCAGGAATAGGTAGTTTGTTATTTTTACTTCCGCTTCCGTCCCGATTCCGTATATGATCTAGTGCTGACCGTGTCCAAACAGGAGCAGAGCAGACTCCACCCATTTCCTCAAATCTTCAGGTTAAGACTGAACTCACTTGAGGAAATGGGCGGAGTCTACTCTGCTCGTGTTGGGTATGATAGAAAACCTGCAGCCACAGCGGCCCTTTCTGGACCGGTTTGGACACCCCAATATATACACTATTGTCCTCAGGGAGATTTGTCCTGTTCTTTTGACCCTAGCCTTGTTTTTTTAACTCTCAATGTGTTATATCTATTTGTAATCACAGCTCCCTGATCTGCAGCATCAAATCAATAACATAATAATAGTGTAAGCAAACATTGTACCACTTCCTTGACCCCACACAAGAGACGGCAGAACAACTTATTGATGCTACCTGGCTGTGAAATACTTCAATACAAATTCAGTCATGTTGAATCATCAAATCTATTCTTGGAACTCTTTATATAAGCAGCCTAATATTTTGTCAGTACAAGAATTATGAGTTCAGTGTTTATAAGATGTCTTCTTATAATTTCCTAAATAAGTTTCCTATAGTTATGTAGGAATTTAAATAGTGAATGTGAGTCCAGTGCGCTTGCGGTGTGAACGTATGACTGACAGGAATAAGCGAGATAGATAGACACGCCCCATCATACGTTTGCAAAGTAGCAGGAAGAGCAGCAAGGTGCAAAAGTGCAAGACTGCAAGTGCAACACAATCTCTGTCACTAAACCATTTCAATGTTTCAGAACAAAATGAGTTTAGGTGAATTCTTTCAAGTGAATACAGTCATTCTGAACTAAAGTCATTCCCAAAACAAAAGATTTCAAGTTCATCATTTGTCCTTTGTATGGCTGTAGCAGCTCAGAAAACCGTATTGGTTCATGCTCCACTCACGCAGCGGGTCACAGCTGCCCTGGGTCTGACTAAGAGCAACATGACTGTCGAACAATGTGTCATCTCTGGTGGACACGGGAGATTTTATACAAAATGATCCCTTCTCTATGTAGATTAAAACTGCAACACACTAAAACACATTCACATATTTAATTTTAGTTTGGAGATATTAATCATGTGCTGTGTGCTCTTCATTCCTACTGTCTGTAACTTGTGATGCAACACTGAAATTTCCCCACTGTGGGACGAAGAAAGCACTTTAAATCTTAATCTTAATCTTCTGTATAAACAATAGGGCGATATAGGGCTTCTGTCATCTCACAGCAAAAAGGTCCTGGGTTTGACTCCTACCCACCCACCACGCTCTCAAAAAAAGAAAAAAAGAAAAACATATTATTAAGACTATTTATTTAAAGGATACAGTAAGAGTAAGGTCATCTGGATCGGTCTTTCTCAGGCTATAACTTTTTTTTACAGAGGTTCACAACTATTCCCATATTTAGACAGGGGGAACTCAAGGAGAAACTCTCTTTTTCATGACCGCCCTGTTGAATACAATTACCAAACATAACAAGAATGAATATGGATGAACTTGTACTTTATAGTTGAGTACAATCTAGACCTATTCCACCACTGCACTAGCCTGGTCTTATTATACCTAAGGTCTGGATTGTCTCCATTGAGCTCTGTTAACAGGTGGAAGGGGGTAACTCCTTTTGCAGATTGAAACAATTGGATCAGAGTTTACCGTGACGTACTGTATGTAATGCGCCTGAGTGAGTGAGGCATTTAGCGTTTAGCCTATCTTTAGCATTTAGCCTATCTTTAGCATATTTTTAGCATTTAGCATATCTTTATTTTTAGCCATCTCCTTTGCCATTAACGGAGCCCGCGGGGGCTAGAGCCACAACATCTTTTCCAGCCATGACATTTGCTAAACATTTACATGTATCTTGCTTCAGCTTAAATTTCTTGATATTTGGAGCCGAACCAGAATGAATTTAAGATCTTCCTTTAATATCGCATTCGCCGCCATTGCCAAACTACAACCAGCTAATTTGGCGCAAACTCATGACGTCAGCGACACCTATATACATGTACGTACAACACCCGCCTCCCCCACTCGCTGAATGATCGGATGGGATACAACCGAAGGAAAATGATCATTGACAGGAGTTTACAAATGGCTAAGGCCCAGCTACCACTGTGCTGCTTTTGACCAGGATCTGCTGACAAGTGTCTTTCATAATGAGTGAAGGCATTATCTGCAGCGGTGTATGCAGAAGCTGGTGCATGTGGCGGCTCACACTGGTGGTTGGAGCTCAGAGCTGCAGAGAGAGAGCTCCAGTCCTGTCACCTTGGGTACGTCAGCAGCAGGAGTCGCTCTGTGCCCTGTGGGAGCCATCTGACTGTGTCACCTCCCAAAGGCTGACACAGGCTGCAAGTGCTCCGCCCCGAGCCCATGGATCAACGTGGTTGATGTTTAATACATATATACAGCCACTATTGAGAGTACCCTGGGAGAAAAGTGAGTGGGGAAGAGCAGATAGACTACAGAAACACCAGGAAGAGAGGGACTGTGCAAAGGGTGCGTGGGAGGCTAGGGATGTAAATCGGCGACCGGTTAACCGGTGGTTGACCGTCACAGCGTTAACCGGTCAAAGCTGTCGGTTAAAAAAGAGAAAAAGGGGAGAGGGGAGGTCTCTTAATAACGCTATTTTAAGCCCTATTTGCACGGTGTGACGAGCGGGTCTGTATCTAGCTGTGTGCGCCAATGTATTATAAACTCCGGGACGACTCTCACGCCGCACGAGCCACATATGCACGCACACATGCACGCACACACGCGCACACACACACACACACACACACACTTTCCCCCTCTCCATACGTAACATCCACACGCATCATCTCTCCCCTCTGTTACCGTCAAAGTTGCACACTGGCGCGGGTCAGAACTACATTGGAGCTTACATTTACACACACACACATATACATACACACACACATACACACATACATACACACACACATACACACACACATACCGGTCTGTCGCGCTCCTCTGTGTCACGGAGCCCAAAGGATTCGCGCAAATACGCGGCTCCAGTCAAACCACATGGGACATGTTTGTGTTTATGGTCCTCGGGATCAGCTCCACACACATCACTTGTATTTAAACTTTTGTGAAGACCTGTGAGACGCGGCGCGTCACTCGCTGCTCTGACCATGTGAACGAGCCGTCGTTTGCTGCTAGAAAGTTTTGGTATTAACCCGCAGCTCAGCAGAATGGGAAGATTAAAAAAGCAGTTCTCTGTGCGCAAAGGTGCCGGAGCTGTTGCGGGTTTGGGCGCCGCTGTCTCAGCTCTGATCCAGTAGAACGCTCAGCTGCACTTATGAAAAGTACGCGGCTCGAAATGGCTGTTATTTCAAAGAACGTGGACTATTTTAAACTACGCGGTTAACCGGTTTCAACCGGTTAATGAGGCTCGGTGGTCGGTCATGAAAATTCATAGTTTTTTACATCCCTATGGGAGGCCTCAGGGCTTGGATCAGAAAGGCCTCAAATCCACTAGCACCGTCATGAAAACTGTTTTTTTTTATTATTGTTTCACACTGGTACAACAACAGAGATTATCTGAAGGGTATATGTAACAATGCAGGCTCTAAACTGCAGGTGCATATTGGCTTTATTGTATGCGGTATATTTCCATTGTGAGATCAATAAAGTTTATCTTATCTTATCTTATAACTTGTTTTGAGGGGTGCTGATCACTGCCGTGTACATGCTAATTCATAAAGTTGTGTTTTTTTTTCTTTCCTAAATTCATACACAAGGCAACTCACAGCGCTGAACAAAACAAGATAAAACAACCACACACAGAATTAAAATAATGAATATCACAGTACATTCAAAATAGTGCAGACAGAATGCTCCAGTTGTATGCACAGCTGCTTTAACCTGAATGTGAAGACTTTCTCACATTTTTAGGAAGACTCTGATGTACTTTGGGAAAGATATGTGAAGATATGCACCACGTGACCCAAGTCCATTCAGTATCAAGTGTAACTCTGCTTTGAAACAGTTTATTTTGCTTCTGAAGTAAAAATCTGCAGACGAAGTATGATCACAGCCTCAACATCAAAGTCTCTGTCTGTTATGATCCTGCACAAAAAAACGACTGAAGTCTTATGATCCAACTTGGCCCAGAAGTGCATGTGAGATTTGAAAGGTGACTTGTATTTTTTGGGATGAATTTAGGTGATCAATTCCCAAATAACAGAGTGTGCCTGCAGCTCAGGGGTGACCCTCCTGCTAAAGTCAACACAACGAGTTTAATGAGGTGAAGTACACGCACACCCTCCTAAGGTTGGAACCCTGGCTGCATAGTAAGAGGCTTTCATTCATCGACATTCTGCTGGCTCCATGCACACACTCTCACCCTAACCAACACCTGCAGCACCATGGACAGCGCGTCACGCAGATTATTACAGGTGCGAAATGCTGCTTGCTGCCATCTTTTTCCTCATTTCACAAATCATTGCAGAGTGGCTTCCCTTAATATCCAAGATGAACGAAAACCCCACAGAGAAGAGCACATTTCCACATGCTTCCCCTGCACTCGTCTATGCCAAACAGTTCATCAGCTCTGAGTCCATAATTAATCAGCCCCGCTGCGAAAGTAGGACTGGTTCCTTTCCCTTATCACATACAGCAACCCACGCCCTCCAGGCGAACAGTGGATTATAACGATGTGTGTGTGATAGGCAGTCCTCCACAAACGGGATATTAATTAAGCTCTGCGTCCACTGCGAGCAACACATGTCCATTCTAATCATAACTTCAAAAGACACACGGCCCTGAGATCAGCCAGCGCACCCCGTGGATCCGCGGCACGTCACCAAATCGCGCTGCACTTGACGCTATTATTGGTGATGCAAGCCAACTTCCACTGACCCGCTCCTCTGCAGGCTATAGACTACTATGCAAGCTATGAATGATTGATCAGACAGGTTAGATCGACTTGAATCTATAAAGAGGGCGGGAAATTTAGGACCAACGCTGCCTGCGCGAAACATGATGGGTGCAGTACTCACCACCACCTCCCAGTGCGTTAGAGGAGCATCACTGTCTTCTTGCGCGGCCAGCTCTTTGCGCGAGTTCTCCCGGGACAGTGCGTCTCCGCGGTCCACTTATCATTCTTTGCCCAAACGTCGGTCTCTCCAAACCTACGCACAGGCTCCCCTCGCCCCTTCGCTTGGCATCACATATAAGCTCATCAGCGGTGTGCCATGGAGAGACAGGAGCTGGACTTGTGGCAGAGGATGGGGAGGCGGCGGTCCGTGTCGCGGGTCGAGAGCGCAAGTGGAAGCGGAGGGTTTGTATTTGAGGCGATGCTGACGCGCTATCGGAGGGGCTCGCCTCTCGCCTTCTCCACTGGCTCCAATGCCATCAGTGCCTGCTTAGACCGAGCCATGTGACTGCACTGGTGTCAACGAGCATAAGCCAATAGCATGCGTTTCCGGTGATAAGTTCCATCATGAAGAATATGGCTCTTTCTATAATACCCGTCACACCAAGCGCTCTCAATATTACCCCATTCATTTATATCAACTCGTTTATAGAAATATTAACACTGTTATTTTTTACGTGATGCATACACAAATAGACAGTTATTGCATTTTATTGTGAAGGCGTTTGCTTTCCTCTGCTTCTGCACTAAATGCCTTACTTTATAGGATTGTAAAAGCATCTCATTCAATTGAATTTAAATCGACCTGACAGAATAGCTCTCTCTAGCGGTAGTATGATGTAACAACAGACACTCATAATGATTAGAGAGGCACACATTTCTGAATCTCCTCGTTTTTACACAAGCAGTAAATTATTATAAATGGTAGGCTATGCCCGCACACTTGAAAAAATGTATTTGCTTTTTAGGAATGACATGGCTCTAAAAATGGCCACATAATATTAAACATGCAGCTGAAGGCACACGCACAAGCCTTAAACTTTAATGAGCAAAGGCCTAAATAAAGACAGCAGCTCACAGTCTGTACTGGGGGAGCCAACCAATGTCAACGCACACAACAGAAAGTCTTGGATATTTTTTAAATAGTCTAATAGTTGCTGGTAAACTCTTGGCCGTTGTAACTGTTGAAATGAACAAACTAAAGACCTGGTTTAATACAAACAAGTTGTCATTAAATATAAAAAAGACCAAGATTATGCTTTTTAGCAATCGTAGATGTAATATTCCTGTCAAGATTGTCATTGACGATACAGAAATGGAAAAAGTTCACCAAAATACATTTTTAGGAGTTGTAATAGATGATAAAATATCCTGGAAACCCCACATAAATTTCATCAAGTCAAAAGTTGCTAAATGTGTTGGAATGATGAGGAGAGCAAGTCATTTACTCAACACCAATGCTCTTCTATTATTGTATCGTTCTTTCATCATGTCATATTTACATTACTGTGTTGAAGTGTGGGGAAACTGCTACAAATCCCACTTACAGCCTCTGAGCACGCTGCAGAAAAAGGCCATAAGGATTGTCTCTAATGTTCACTACAAGCATCATACTCACCCACTGTTCATAGAGTTGGAAGAATTTAAATTACAAGATTTGATTCACTTTAGAACTGCTCAGATTATGTTCAGGGCATCAAAAAACTCTCTGCCTCCAAATGTTCAGAATTTATTTTGTGACAGAGACGCGCATCATAGTCATAGACTAAGAGGAAATAAAAATGTATACTTGCCTAAATTTAGGACCACTTTAAAGTCAATGTGTGTCTCAGTGCGAGGAGTTTCTCTATGGAATACCTTAAAGGATGAACTTAAAAATAGTACAAATCTGACTCAATTTAAAGCTTTGTTTAAAAAAGATGTACTAAAGAAATACAAGGAGGAAAGAGAGTGATGCCCTCAGCACAGAGCGAGTGATAGCAGAGAGGGGTGGGGTCAGAGTGTTCGGGTGTGTGTGTGTGAATGTGCGTGTATGCGCATGGGTTGTTTTTTTTTTAATATATATATATATATATATATATAATTTTTTGTTGTATACCATCGGTGGTAGTATCGTATTGAAATTCTTGGCAAAATGTACAGTAGTATTCTTGTATACCATTGGTGGGAGTGTTGTATTGACAGTAGTACTTTGTAATGTGATTTTTGGATTATTTTGACGGGTGTTGTGTGGGTGAGAGGGTTGGGCTAAAATAAGCATAGTGCTTCATCCAACCCCTTTTCAAACCTTGAACATATGTGTCTGAACATTTGTCAAATGTGTCTTCTGTGCAGGTTTTTGAAATAAAGAAATACATTCAAATATATACACATTACACACACATGTTAAGATTCTCATAAAAATTGTGTTTATTTAGGAGGAATGGAGAAAGCAGTGGATAGGATGGACAATATCACAATGTCTACTGCTTTTACTCTCAATCTAAATTTTTACTCTACAACGCATCCATCTTTCATTGATAGAAATATGTAGATAGATAGATAGATATACTGTATATAGAGATGGATAAATAGATATATAGACAGACATCCTTTAAGAAATATATAAAGTTATTCTCATCAAAGTTTATCATATAGAAAATCAAACAAGCGCAACAAGTATTTCTATAATCTTCTAAAAATGTTTTGACCAATTTTGACCTCAACATATCGAGGCACGCGGGTTTAAAAACACTGAAATAGATACTTGTTTATCCCTTGTATCAGAAATTCAGGTTTCCAGCAGCAGAAAATAAAAACATAATTCTAAACGTTTTAAAAAAGTAATATAATTGTGTCGTGTGCATGTTTAGCTCAGACTGATCTATTGTACAACTACAAAAATTATCCAATTTCAGAGATTTATGTCGCTGTTTTTTTCCCCCATAGAAATATGCAAGTTTTTGTTTTTTGTCATACGTTCCACTCAATATCTTCCTGGAGAACTAATAGTGCACATTTAAGTTCTTAGCCCCAAAATCTGGTTCATAGGGTCAGCCCATGTATTGTCAAACCCAAAGACCGGCTCCTAAAAAGAGTCTAAAGACACGATGAAAGGGGATAAGTCCGTGTTGCAATGGTCCTATTGTGGTCCACTATGAGGCTACTCGTCTCCACAGAAGCAGGTCCCAGAGCAGAGCGCACTGCTGCCCTGTCACTTCACATTAGTGTCCACCATAGAACCGCGCCCCCACGGCTCTGGACGCGCTGTCAGAAGAGCCTTCACGGCCCACATACACAATCAGCCGCTCCACCAGGACTTTTGGGGGGCGAAATGGGACACACTGCACACCCCGTCAAGTCTGCGAACAGAAGTTTAATAGTGACCTGGTTTCAGCCTCTGCTCTGCGCCACCCACACACCAGCATTTTAGAACTCAAAAACATGTTCTCATTATAAATTCAGTTGTGAATGAGGACTCCCTGCATGGCTGAGCAGATACTGACACGTCGGGCTGTATGGTGTAGTATGGTATATGCTTTAGTCTCTATGAAGTGGGCTGTGTGTATGGCCTATGTAAAGAAAAAACATGTGATTTTGTCAAGCGAAATATTATAGCTTGTAATTGACTCGCTGAACTCAATCTTGTCAAGCTTGAACACTGACACTTGCTATTACAAAAGTGTTGCTGGTGTGAACGCCTCTCAGACAGTTTCAAGAAGGACAGATTGTCATTATGAAATCTCCTGCATCTAAAATGTTGAAGCTGAACTACAGCCTCAAAAACAGCCTGAGTCCTCACTTTTTTTCCGACTGGGATTTTCAATTGTTCCTTGTCAATACAGGAGGACATTGATCATCCTGCAATGGCTCATTTGTTATTATTGTGTTTCCTGAGTTGTTAATTCTCTGATCTGTTACAATAAAATGTTACAATAAAAATGTATAAAGTGAACATGCTCAGGGCTTTTGTTGGATTTTTTTTGTTGGACCCATGTTTTGTGTAATGGAGGAAACTGGAGCGCCTGGAGGAGTCTTCCTAGAAATAGGGAGAAAGATGCATGTGTGTCTGTGTGTGTGTGTGTGCGTGTGTGTGTGTGTCTATTGCCAGGATTGTTCAAAAACGAAAGATTGAGGTGAATGTGGTGTGTGTAGATGGGATTCCCACCATCACTGAACATCGAGATGGTTTTTAATGTTGGCGGGGTATGTGCTCTACGCGTGCATGTTTATATTATACACGTGAGAATTATTCATTGCAAGAATTTTAATTACCTATAAGCTCCATGGAGAAGGCACTGTGCTTCCTTAAAGTGCCCAGTTTGCATGTGAGCTCTGGGCCTCCACCCTCAGGTTATTTTTGGAAAAGGGGAGGAGCAGCAGAGTCTCAGGTGGATTCATGTTGGAAGAGTAAAAGAGAGAGAACAGTGTCTGTGAGAGAAAGAACCAGCTGAGGTAATGAGACATGAGCGCTCCTGCTCTGAGCTGCACAGGATTCAACCACGTGGGGTAATAAGGAATATCTCATTTACCACTGGCAATAACAACAGCTAAGTTTACTTCACAAGAGATTTCAAACTAGAAGAATAAACTGAAGGAGGCACACAACCAATACTGTAGGATAACAACAGCCATAGGGCCAGTGTGGTGTGGATGTCATCTTGAGTTGTATCAAAAGTGAACAGGATTAAAACTAGTTCAATCATGATAATTTCATTCGGGGAAGACTCGAAGCAAAGATACATTAGAATGATGTGTAGTGAGATTGAATGCATTGTAGCAGTATTATTAGGCCGTCTATTTCTCACAGTCTATGTCTGAAACCCATTTAACAGGTGGTACAGGTAGACAGACTGTCATGTATAATATACGGCATGTATAATTTAACGGCACGGTGGCTGAGTGGATAGCACTCTCGCCTCTCAGCAAGAAGGTCCTGGGTTCGAATCCCGGTCGGACCAGGGCCTTTCTGAGTGGAGTTTGCATGTTCTCCCCGTGTCTGCGTAGGTTTCCTCCGGGTACTCCGGTTTCCCCTACCACTAAAAATATGTCCAATAGTTCTGGCATGCGCTTCCTGTACTGGCGACCCCGCTCCCATCTCTGTGTGGAGTGAGATACAAATGCCCAAAATTAACAATTGTAAACCGCTTTGAGACTCAGATCTGCAGTGAAAAGGCGGTATATAAATAAAAACTTACTTACTTACTTACTAATATTAGTGCCGTGATACATCGTAAATGTAATTTCACAAGTCTTGTGCTTGTATTTTGCTATCGCAGAGTGCATTGTCAATACCTAATGCAAGCTCTTCCCCTTGGGACCACCCCAAAAATCCATGTTACATCCAACCTTACAAAGTGATGGAGTTAACTAGAGATTGTGTACTTGCGAACAACAACAACATGATGCTCCTTCCACTGAAGAGGCGGGGATGGGGAGGAGGTGGATTGCTGCACAAACAGCAGCTGTCAAACTAAAATTCAAATAACTTTAAAACAAAGACGCAACATTACAAAGTACAAAATGCCCAATTAAGCCAAGGCGGATTGAGGAGGGAAGGAAACTGGATGTGACCCTTTTAGTCCTGAGCATGTACTGTAAATATTTGTCCTGACTGAGTGGGAGGGACCTGTACCTGTGCCCTGATGGAAGCAGACTGTGGTGTGAGCTGAAGAGGAGGTGTAGCAGAAAGAGGAGGACTGTGTGTGAAGGTGAGAGAGTGAGCACTGTCTCCTCGTCTTAAGCTGTGTTCCCACCGGACCATAGTTGCGACGAGTTTCAATGCAAAGTCAATGGTGATGTCCACCCATGTGTGGAATTGCATGAACGTCGCGGTGCAGCAGACGTGTTGGGGTGGGTGTTGCGGTGGGTAGGACGGAACCAATCAGAGAGCAGCAAAGTGGTCACAGGGGCACAAGCCGGTCAAAAACAGGAAGGTGAAGACACTTAAAAACTAAAACATTAACTAAACCAAGATTAAACCTGTGGTCTTTTCATGTGTCATTCTGATCAAATGACAAAATCTCAATAGGGTTTGGGACATTTCAAAGTCATATATGAAGCTTTTATTACATTTGTTTTGAATCCAATTTTCAACATTAATATTAACACATGTGGAATCCAAAAAGAACAATATATACACTCAAATAACAGCAAGCTTTCTGAAACTTTAGTTACACGTCTGAGTGATAAACGAGTTCAAAAACAAGCTGCCTCAATTCTTCAAGTTTAGTTAGCGTTTTAGGGATTTGAAATGTGGAAGGTGGTTTTATTCACATTAATGTTATGAAATACAATGTATAAGATTCAATTAAATAGCAAAACAGTCCTTAAAAAGTGCACTAGAGAATGCATAATATTACTGATCAGGCAGTTGTGTTGCTGCTAGAAATACATGTCTGTACTTTTCTTTTTTAATGATTATCTAATACAACAATATGAAGCCATTTTCTTAATCCTATGTTTATTTTATTCTGCCTCAGATTCTTGATGATAAAGACACTTTGATGGTTTACGGTGGTTATCTTGCTGTATTGTTTCTCACCTGAAACCTATCCGCTGTGGAACAAATAAAGGTTCTCTTATCTTATCCTAAAGTAGTCTAAATTCTGTTTGACTCAAAGAAAGCGTCTGTTTTCAAAACCATGCCAAGGTTAAAAGCCATTCAATCAATCCCAACAGCCAATATATTAATTCGAGGTATGTGTTTGCTCTGTTTGTCCACGAGATGGCGGTGGTGAGTTCTGCAATGGGAACGTTGCTTTCTCTTTCCCGTTTCCATTTTGCCCCTTTAATTTCTAGTCCTCGATAAGCAGCTAATCTATTCGCGTATTTTTATGGAAAGGAAAAAAATATCATCAGCATTTGCCCACTATTATTATTGACCACTATCTGTTGACTCAAACCCGTCACCATGGTGATAAATTGCCTTTGTTTGATCCCACTGTAATTGCTATCTCCCCAGTCATGGTTCGACAAACACACAGACAGCGACAGCAGCACGTGGACGCCCCCCCCCCCCCCCCCCCCAGCCCAATCCCTCACCCCCACCTCACCCCGCCCCGTCCCCCCTTTACACCACACCACACCTCACACCCACCCAGCACGCACCAGCTCTCGCACCATCCGCGTCTCACTCAGCCAGTCCCCTCAAGTCCCGCGGATCTCTCACATAAAGCAGCGGACAAAGGCAAAACAAAAAAAGAGAGAAAGCAAGGAATAAAGTAAAAGAGAATGCAATGTGTCTACAGTTTATGACCCAGGACCAAGCCTAAAGTGGATACACAAAGAGACGCATATTGTAGAAGCGCGTGGTTCTGTTCACAATGGGCTGCTGTAGCGGGCGCTGCACCCTCATCTTCATATGCACTTTACAACTGGTGAGTAATGCCCATAAGTTTCAACATAAAAGTTATTCTTGGCTGTTTTTCATTGCATTTGAATTGACTGAGATTGTGAGTGTGTTGTTTTTTAAGCTGTGACTTTCATATAGGACTGTCTTGGGGGAAAGAAAGTTGAATGGGGCAAATGTGTGTAATGTCTAATGCGAAACTGTTGGGAGTGTGTTGTTTTTGAGTTGTGTTATGGCTGACCTGGGTTTGAGTTGTATTTAGTGTAAGCTATTACATTTGTTTTGTTCAGCACTTTGAGTTGCCTTATGTTGAATGGTGCTATGCAAATAAACTTGCCTTTCCTTGCCTATAAGCGCTCAGCTACAGCTTTTTAACTGTCTGACTGTCTTCCTGTTTATGTGTATAGCTCAGTTCATACACAAGAGAAGTGCTAAACAAAACAAGAGAGAATCAATCGTACAAGACGTCAGCATCATAATCACAGTCCATTAAAAATAGTGACGATTGCAGTCTTTCAGTTATATGCACAGCTAAACAAAACTGTTTTAACCTGGATTGTCAGAGAATAAGCCTGTCTAAAATTTTCAGAAAGACTGTTCCAGATTATAACTGCATACATCTGAAATACAGCCTCCCCATGTTTAGTCCATGACTCTGGGCACCAAGAGGCCAGCCCCTGTGCTTGTGTAGAGAAATATGTGGTGTCTTTAAAAATGTATAATAATAATAGTTTGTAAGTTGTTGAATGAAAAGTCAGTGTGTTTATTGTATCGACAATGATAGTTCGGGCTAATGATGAAACCGCATTCTGTTTTGTTGCTTTGACTTGTAGCATTTTCCACATTTTTTATTGTCTTGTGGCATTTCAAGGTAGAGATGGGAATATTGCTATGAACTTTTGAATATATTATGTATCTCCATAGGGGTCCATGAAGGATACAATACTACATATCAAGCCACTCTGACCTCAATATTCCAGCCCTAATACGTGCATTGAACTGAAATGAATCTTTGCATAGTGCCTAAATGTAGTGGGAATACATGTTCACAATGAATTGAATCTAAAGATACAAATGCCTTTTGAATGGATGAGAATAGATTTCAACTTGAATTTGCACAGTGGGGAGAGAAAGGTGTGTTTTTGACTTGCAAATATATACACATATTAAGATGAGCACACAGACTGGCAGGATGCTAAATGAATTAAACTTTTGATTCATACACATTAACATATTTGCAGACACCAAAAAAGGCCTCTATAGAAAAAAAAAAAAATCTCTGTCCAGGCTGAATGTAGTGGTCAGAAATGTGTGTAAAAAAAGCTGCAATTTCAAACTTCCCTGCATCATTACACGTTTTTCCCATATGCTTTCTTATATATGCAGAAAGTGAAGATATATTGCCCTATTGACATTCTGCGTACAGCCCTATTTCAAAGTCTGGCACCTCTAAAATGGAAGAATGATGACTTATTACTCAGTCTGCAGTCTGAGTGACAGACAGTTTCGGGACAGTGTGCCCTTGATGCCTCCAAAATTTGAAACTATTCTATTTCAAGGAGGTTCATGAAGCCTCTCTGTTCTTTAGCAAAGTTACACATTAGTTTTACTGTTATGGTATTTATTTGGTTGTATGGCCATTTTGAAAGACAAGTTATAGCTATGATTCTTTACTGTCCAAATCTCCCTCGCAGTGATTCAAAAAGGTTTGTTTTGTCTAGGGGTCGACAACTTATATAGTCCCTGGGGTAAATATCTGACTGAGGCTTTAGATCCAGGGCAGAGGCTGAAGGTCTAAGGACTGAGGCTGTAGGTCCAGGGCAGAGGTGTAGACCCAGGATTGAGGCTGTAGATCCAGGACTGAGGCTGTAGAACCAGGTCTGAGGCTGTAGAACCAGGTCTGAGGCTGTAGACCCAGGACTGAGGCTGTAGATCCAGGACTGAGGCTGTAGATCCAGGACTGAGGCTGTAGAACCAGGACTGAGGCTGTAGAACCAGGACTGAGGCTGTAGAACCAGGACTGACGCTGCAGATCCAGGACTGAGGTTGTAGATACAGGACTGAGGCTCTAGAACCAGGACTGAGGCAGTGGAACCGGAATGAGGCTATAGATACTGGACTGAGGCTGTAGAACCAGGACTGACGCTGTAGATCCTGGGCCGAGGTCGTTGATCCAGGACTGAGGCTGTAAATCCAGGACTGAGGCTAAAGGTTTAGGACTGAGGTTTTAGAACCAGGACTGAGGTTGTTGATCCTGGACTGAGGCTATTGATCCTGGACCGAGGCTCTAGTCTAGAACCAGGACTGAGGCTGTAGATCCAGGACTGAGACTGTAGATCCAGAGACTGTAATTCCAGGACTTTGTAGATCCAGAGTTGAGGCCATACATCCAGGATTGAGGCTGTAGATCCAGGACTGAGGCTGTAGAACCAGGACTGAGTCTGTAGATCCAGGACTGAGGCTGTAGATCCAGGACTGAGGCTGTAGACCCAGGTCTGAGGCTGTAGACCCAGGACTGAGGCTGTAGATCCAGGACTGAGGCTGTAGATCCAGGACTGAGGCTGTAGAACCAGGACTGAGGCTGTAGAACCAGGACTGAGGCTGTAGAACCAGGACTGACGCTGCAGATCCAGGACTGAGGTTGTAGATACAGGACTGAGGCTCTAGAACCAGGACTGAGGCAGTGGAACCGGAATGAGGCTATAGATACTGGACTGAGGCTGTAGAACCAGGACTGACGCTGTAGATCCTGGGCCGAGGTCGTTGATCCAGGACTGAGGCTGTAAATCCAGGACTGAGGCTAAAGGTTTAGGACTGAGGTTTTAGAACCAGGACTGAGGTTGTTGATCCTGGACTGAGGCTATTGATCCTGGACCGAGGCTCTAGTCTAGAACCAGGACTGAGGCTGTAGATCCAGGACTGAGACTGTAGATCCAGAGACTGTAATTCCAGGACTTTGTAGATCCAGGATTGAGGCCATACATCCAGGATTGAGGCTGTAGAACCAGGACTGAGGCTGTAGATCCAGGACTGAGGCTGTAGAACCAGGACTGAGTCTGTAGATCCAGGACTGAGGCTGTAGATCCACGACTGAGGCTGTAGAACCAGGTCTGAGGCTGTAGAACCAGGTCTGAGGCTGTAGATCCAGGACTGAGGCTGTAGATCCAGGACTGAGGCTGTAGAACCAGGTCTGAGGCTGTAGATCCAGGACTGAGGCTGTAGATCCAGGACTGAGGCTGTAGATCCAGGACTGAGGCTGTAGATCCAGGACTGAGGCTGTAGAACCAGGACTGAGGCTGTAGAACCAGGACTGACGCTGCAGATCCAGGACTGAGGTTGTAGATACAGGACTGAGGCTCTAGAATCAGGACTGAGGCAATGGAACCGGAATGAGGCTATAGATACTGGACTGAGGCTGTAGAACCAGGACTGACGCTGTAGATCCTGGGCCGAGGTCGTTGATCCAGGACTGAGGCTGTAAATCCAGGACTGAGGCTAAAGGTTTAGGACTGAGGTTTTAGATACAGGACTGAGGTTGTTGATCCTGGACTGAGGCTATTGATCCTGGACCGAGGCTCTAGTCTAGAACCAGGACTGAGGCTGTAGATCCAGGACTGAGACTGTAGATCCAGAGACTGTAATTCCAGGACTTTGTAGATCCAGGATTGAAGCCATACATCCAGGATTGAGGCTGTAGAACCAGGACTGAGGCTGTAGAACCAGGACTGAGGTTGTAGAACCAGGACTGAGGTTGTAGAACCAGGACTGAGGCTGTAGAACCAGGACTGAGGCTGTAGAACCAGGACTGAGGCTGTAGAACCAGGACTGAGGCTGTAGAACCAGAACTGAGACTGTAGAACCAGGACTGAGGCTGTAGAACCAGGACTGAGGCTGTAGAACCAGAACTGAGACTGTAGATCCAGAGACTGTAGATCCAGGACTGTGTAGATCCAGGGCAGAAGCTGTAAAGAAAAAAACCTATACTCAACCCATATATATGTTAAAATCAGATTGGCTTTTTCCTTCCTCTGTAAAATGTCTGCAGGTATAAAACCAGAAACCAGTGGTGTGTGGGCTTTGACATTTCCTGGGATAGTAGCTCTAGTGTTGCATGTTCTTCTCATTGACTGCACACACTGGGAGCTCGCCTCTGTCACTACCTCGGAGCAGAGTTTACTTGACAGGGTGTGACGTTGTTATTTATGGTGGTATTAAAACAGCTCTCAGAAGAAACCTTGCAAGTAAACGCCGATTCAAACAGCTCCGAGGGGCCGTAAAACTCTCCCCTAACGCAAAGTTAATAAAAGGTGTCTGAGTTTCCTATGAGCTGTTGAGGTTACGTTGGAGTTACTAAAGGCAGGACACATATTTAGCATTTTTTTGTGTTCAATTTGGCTCTAAAACATGAAAGTAAGCAAGCATTATTTTATTGGCTTTCTATATTCTCTTTTGGTTTTGTTTGGATTGAACCAAAACTTAAAGAAGGCTGAGTGAAAGATTCATGTTTTAGACTAATTATTTCTAATGAGGTAAATCCAAAAACCCTTAATCCCAGAGAAAACGGCTTTAAAATTATGTAACGGTAGCACATATTAGCACATATTAAGACTAGAAGAGTAGATAGAACTCTCGCTTCTCAGCAAGAAGATCCTCGGTTCGAATCCTGGTCGGAACAGGGTCTTTCTGAGTGGAGTTTGCATGTTCTCCCTGTGTCTGCGTAGGTTTCCTCTGGGTGCGCCGGGTTCCCCTACCACAAAAAACATGCAGAATTGGTAAAATTTCTCTAAGGGGACAACAAAGTACACATTTACATTTAACATGTTTTCTAATAAGACTAAGACAGAATGTGTGTTTTGATTTGATCACAGCATGTCACTTATCAAAGTGTATTTTTTGTTGGGACAAAGACATTAGTTGTTGTAAAAAATGTAGGTACGCCAGCTTTACAGACACTAAGAACAAACCGAGCAATATCTCTCATTTCATTCTGCATTTTTCATTTTGTTAAAAGGATCAACTAAGATTTCT